GGGTTAGTTCGGCTCAAAAGCTTCAATATTTGATCTTGAAAATAAAAGTTCACAATAAATTGAAGAGCTTGCTAAGATTGGGTGGGGGGAGGGGAAGGGCATGTGACTTAATGCATTGACTTTGTAACAGCATTTGACTATGAGCGTAGGCTTTAAGCCAATATAGGTTGGCCACATGACTCTATACAAGGTCAATCTCGTAAGCCAAGCTGGTTAAGCTTGAGTCATGGGATAAGAGTAGAAAATCGTGCGATAATAGTAGCCAGTCATGTGAACTTTATGCTTGGGCTCTTTGATAACATAAACTGGCTATGTGGATTTTTACATTGGTTCTGTGATAGTATGCATGGTTACCCAGACCTCATCCTTGGGCCCGAGGATAATAATATCTAGTTAGTCATGCTACCTTTTACTTTTGCTCTGTGATAAATGCACTGATCCCCAAATCTGTTGCGTGGGAATTGTGATATATTATCTAGTAACTTATGCTATTTTATGGGTGGGCTCTTAATATATGTTGGTCATTTGGACTTTGCACGTTGGCTCTATGATCAAATAAGCTGGTCATGTGATACAGTAGTAAGTCATGCAATTTTATGGGTGGGCACTTAATATATGTTGGTCATTTGACTGCATGGGCTCTAATGATAAAATGCATTGATCACTAGACCTTTTTGCGAGGCCTCTGTTATAAATGTTTCTAGTCTTGTGACTTTATGCTCGGCATCTGTCTTAAAGAATTTGCTCTTGTGACTTTGTTCTCGACACCTATAATAATATTAGTACATTTGGTTCTTTGACAGAATATTTAAGGCTGGCGAATTTATACACTGAGACTATGATAATGTACGATGGCCGTGTGACTTTATGCGTTGCCTTTTTTGATACAATGAGTCAGACATTTATCTTTATACTAGGTTGATATCATTCAACTACGAAAATTTAGTTAACTGTTTATTTTTAAGAAAGAAAGAACATTTGAACTTTTCAAATTTGCTGAACGCACAAATTTCATTTGGCTTGATACGAAACTGTAACGAAGTTAATTTCAATCAATATAAAGATATATAAAGGGCTCACACCATAAAAGTCTACGTTATTAAACGATGTGTCTGTAAATGATTGACAGGATGACATCTATAAATGATGCATCACTAAATGGGTCTAAGAATCCTTCATACATCATTACCACACTGTCAGCATACATTGTATTTTTTACAGGGTTATTCTTGAGTTCACCAACAACGATATATGGCTTTAGTACACATTTACATGAGATAAACACTGGCAAATGGAGACGAGTCCATCGCAGTGGCTCTCAATCGTCCTGATACCGCGAAACTTAAATACAGCTCCTCATGTTGTTGTGACCCTCAACCAAAAAAAATATATTTCGAGGCTACTTTATAAATATGTGTTCTCTATTGTGCTAGGCGATCTCTGCGTAAGGGCGATTCGAGCCCCAAAATGTGTCGCAACCCATAGGGTGAGAACCGCTGTTGTATCTGCATAATTTGTTAAGGTGCTTGTCTTATCCTGTCATCTGAGATAAGGACTTGGTCATGAAGAAAACGTATATCATAGAAGCTTTCGAATTATTGTTAATTATTATTATTTTAGAAAAAATGTATGCTGAAGAACTTAAATAGTGCACTAATTATTGTAAATTGACCTTTTTGAAATTCCAGTAAAAGAAAATACCTTAATGACCATCCTTAAAATTATTTATAAAAACAAAATCTATTGTGTTTTGTTATTTCTAATTTTTGTTTGTTTATATTTCTACTTTCAAAGTTCTATTTTTGTGTGTCTATTTCTAAATTTCATTCCTTAGACTTTAAGCCAGCTGCTAAATATTCGTTCATTTCGTCTAGTTCTAAAATAATTCATTTAAATTTAATAATATATTTTTTAAACATAATTATTTCCACTTGCCCTAATGTGTAATTATTTCTAAATAAATTTTCAGAATCACTATTTCAAAATTATTTTTTACAAATGACCTGATAAATATTTATAAATATCTCACCCCCATGATAAATTTCATTGACCTTTTTAGTATACCTTTTTTTTCTTAAAATTATAAATTTGATGTAGTTTTTTCTTAAACTCTAAAATGAACTTTTTCTATTGCTTAAAAACAAATGACTTTTTAAAAAAGGTCCAACATTAAAACCATGCCCAAGTGTGGGTGATTGTCCTGAAGAGCGATCGACTAAACAAAACACAAATAGCAAATTTAACAAATACTGACTTTTTTTTTTTTTTTTGTTAAAAGTATTAGTAGGCAGCTCTTTAAGTATCAATGCGTAAACGACAATAAGTGAGTCCCCAATCTGTGTTCCCATAAAACCAGGACATCAATCGCATGTGTGAAGTGGCGTCTGACACGTTCATGCCCAGCGACGCGGTGATCCCATCGGTGGGCTCTGGTCCAACCATCAGCTGCTATAACCTGTCTCTTGGTTAAAACATCAATCGTTGTTTTTATTTCTTTACAGATTCCGAACACCTCATTTTAACTATATCAGTCAGAGTGCACCCTCAATTAATCAAGGGGGGGGGGCTCTTTAAATTG